CTTTTGGTTTTAATTTTCAATGACAAACTTGATGTCTGCCTATCATAAAAACAATAGGTAAACCTGGAGATATTTTCCTCTCCACCACCACCCCACAGCCCATTTCTCTTGGGGTCACCACAGGTTGGGGGGTGACCTCCTGTGAGTGTTTCAGACATCCTTCATCAAGGCTGTTGGTTGTGCACAGTGGGGGAAAGGGACCAAGGTTCCCCAGGAAAGGTGACATATGGGGGTGAGGACAGACCAAGAAAAGAGAGGGCAGGGTGGACTTACTCTTATCTGGCTCTGGATCCGAACTCAGCCCAGCTCAGTCCAGCCACAGTTGACAGATAAAAGAGGTAGTTGGCCCTATCAGGGCTGCCAATCACTGGGCCAGGCCCAGGGGTTGGGGCCCAGGCCCTGTCTTTGCTATCCAGGGCTCCTACCCAGGGGCAGTGTCCAGATGGTCAGCTCACTGCAGACAGATGCAGCCCAAAGACCTCTCCCCATCCTTGGCAGGTGACCCTTCGAGGGGGGGCATGGCCAAGGCCAGGCTGCCCCCTCCCTGAACTCCTGTGTTAGATGAGAGGAAGCAGCACCTGTCACAGGGGTGCCAAGGGGACCAACGGAATGATTTGGAGAATTTTTTGGGGTGGGGGTACCAGGGATTGAACTCAGGGTCACTCAACCACTGAGCCCCATCCCCAGCCCTATTTTGTATTTTCTTTAGAGACAGGGTCTCACTGAGTTCCTTAGCACCTTGGTTTTGCTGAGGCTGGCTTTGAACTTGCAATCCTCCTGCCTCAGCCTCCCATGCCACCATCACTAAGTTTTTGACAGAGAAATATGTCTTTCACCTTTACAGATATTTCCACTTCCAGGACTTTCCTTGGTGTGAGTCTACATTGTCACCTCTTTTGTTCTTTCTCCTGCAGAACTTCTTTTGACAATTTGGTGTCAGGAGTTGCTGGCAAAGGTTTTTCAGCAAGCCAAAAGCTTCCACCGTCTGCTGACTGCCAGTTTCTGAAGACTTTCATTGATTTCCAGCCCTATGTGATGTGCCTCAGCCTGTTTTTCTTTATTGTATTCTATTTGGTGTTCATTGAGAGTGTTAGATCTGTTTGTTTATAGTTTCATCAAATATGTAAAGTTGTGGCCATTTGCTCCTCAGACACCCCCGTATCCATCCCCTTTCTCTCCTCTGGCTTTCTGCCTCACATACTCTGCAGCCTGGGTCTCTCCCGACTGCATGTCCCGAGGCAGTGTGGGTTTCTCACCCCTACTTGTCCTGCTGTCCTGTCCCCCTCCCCCCACCTGGCTTTCT